AGACAAGACAGTATTCTGATCAAGTCTCTCTTTATTGAGTGAAAGGTTGCAGCCTATATAGGCCAGGGGAAGGGAAGCACCCATCGCACATGTAAATTAGGCCACTTTGGTAATAGACCAATCAAGGAGTCCAGGGGAGCACGCCCTCAGTAACGGTTTACAATCTTCAACCAGGTATGAGAAGTGACGTCATTTTATGCAAATCAGGTGCAGGCACTAGATATGTAAATAGGGTGAAGACAATCTCCTACCCAATCAAGGGGAAGCAGGATATAGGTGCTTTATCTAAAAAATGTCACACCATGTATGGAAACCCCCTTATCTGTTTCTAGGCAGACTTGAAGGCTAAACTCAACCCTCCCAAGGACAGGCTATTCAGAGGGGAGATAACATAATCACAAAACTATGTCACGTAGGCAGGAATGGAAAAGTACTGCAAACTCTGACAAAATACAGTGAAGATTGAGCCGAATGGCCCCAGAGTTCTCAGACACAAGACAAGTCAGTGGGGATCCTGAGAGATCCTTTCCCTGTTCTATGGAGAGCACCCCTACACACACCCTGCCAAGCTCCTAACTGTACCCCCATCTTGCCCAGGTCCCAGGAACCCAGGAACTGGGATATCCAGTTTGGGGAGCTGACATCCCAACCCTCTCTACTGAACCTGCGGGCCCATTACAACCGCTTCAACGTGGAGAAGATTGTGCTGAACCCCAATTTTAAAGGGTACTCACCCTACGACATCGCCCTGGTGAAGCTGGCTTCCTCTGTCAAGTACAAAAAACACATCCTGCCTGTCTGTGTCACCAACTCCTCCATGGAATTCCAGAACAGGGATGACTGCTGGGTGACAGGCTGGGGGAATGTCCATGAAGGTATAGGTAAGGCTGAGGGGGGAGGGGAGGGGCACTGTTAGGGACTGTTTTTCTACTTCAGCCCCAGCTGTCCCCACTGGGCTGGTCAGGCCACCCGGGGTCCCAGCCAACCCGCCCCATCCTCCCCTCCCCTGCCCCTCTGTTTTCTGTCCACCTGCCAGGACTCTCTGGACCTCAGGCTGAAAAACAAGAGTCTCGGGGGTAGCTTGACCAGCCTGTCTACCCTGGGTCATTCTGTGGCATTGCTCAGTGCCCACTCCACCCCCACCTCCAGTGTACCCCCACCTCCAGTGCTAAGTTGGGACGAGAGCCATGTCCCAGGGCCTGTGGGTGTCCCCACAGGCCGCCCGGCATCCTCCACCTCTCTTCTCCTGCCCCACTCCCCACACAGCGCTGGGGTCCCCTTTCAACCTCCAGGAAACCCAGCTCTCCATCATAAACAGCACCTTGTGCAACGACATGTTCTACATGCCCCATTTCCGTTCCTTCATCCCGGGGGACATGATTTGTGCAGGTTCCGAGGACGGCAGCAAAGACACCTGCAAGGTGAGCACCCCGCTCCCAGCACC